CAGAACTTTTCAAAACTTCATACATTTTAAATATTTAGCTTTATTTTGAAAATCTTGCCCCATTCAAATGAATGGGAAAATTCTACTTCAGCAAACTTTCAGTTATTTCAGCTATCAAAATGTTCAGCTCTTCAAAGACATTCATAGTACTATTCCGAAGTTTTCTAAACTTCATACATTTTAAATATTTAGCTTTATTTTGAAAATCTTGCTCCATTCAAATGAATGGGAAAATTCAACTTCAGCATAATTTCAACTGTCATAATGTTCAGCTCTTCAGGGACATTCATGCATCTCTTCAGAAGTTTTGTAAACTTCATACTTTTGAAATATTTAGCTTTATTTTGAAAATCTTGCCCCATTCAAATGAATGGGGAAAATTCAACTTCAGCATTTCAGCTATCAAAATGTTCAGCTCCTCAAGGACATTCCTGCGTCTCTTCAGAATTTTTCAAAACTTCATCCTCTTGAAATATTTAGCTTTATTTTGAAAATCTTTCCCCATTCAAATCAATAGGGAAATTCCAATTTCAACATACTTTCAGCTAGCAAAAGCATTCAGGTGTCAAAATGTTTAGCATTTTCAGGCCGATCTTTCAGCACTCAGCATTCATACGCATTTTCTTCAGAAAATGCAATTTTCTAGTTATTATTATTATTCTTCTGTATGTTTTTTTGCTGCTTAACTACTTCAGCATACTTTCAGCTAGAAACACCATTCAGGTATCGCAATGTTCCGCTTCTTCAGGACATGCACGGATCTATTCAGAATTTTCCTAAACTTCATACTTTTTGAAATATTCAGCTTTATTTTGAAAATTTTGCCCCATTCAAATGAATGGGAAAATTCTACTTCAGCATACTTTCAGCTATTTCAGCTATCAAAATGTTCAGCTCTTCAAGGACATTCATACTACTATTCAAAACTTTTCAAAACTTCACACATTTTAAATATTTAGCTCTATTTTGAAAATCTTGCCCCATTCAAATGAATGGGAAACTTATATTTCAGCATACTTTAAGCTCTTTCAGCTATCAGAATGTTCAGCTCTTCAAGGACATTCATACTACTATTCAGAAGTTTTCAAAACTTCATACATTTTAAATATTCAGCTTTATTTTGAAAATCTTGCCCCATTCAAATGAATGGGGAAATTCTACTTCAGCAGACTTTCAGCTATTTCAGCTATCAAAATGTTCAGCTCTTCAAGGACATTCACACTACTATTCAGAAGTTTTGTAAACTTCATACATTTTAAATATTTAGCTTTATTTTGAAAATCTTGCCCCATTCAAATGAATGGGAAACTTCTACTTCAGCATACTTTCAACTAGCAAAACCATTAAGGTGTCAAAATATTCAGCATTTTCAAGGCGATCTTTCAGCACTCAGCATCCATACGCATTTTCTTCAAAAAATGCAATTTTCTAGTTATTTCGTATGTTTTTTGGCCCCTAACTACTTTAGCATACTTTCAGCTAGAAAAACCATTCAGGTATTCAGGTGTTCAGCTTTTTCAGGACATGTGTGGATTTATTCAGATTTTTTTCTAAACTTCATACTTTTTGAAATATTTAGCTTTATTTGAAAATCTTGCTCCATTGAAATGAATGGGAAAATTCTACTTCCGCATACTTTCACATATCAAAATGTTCAGCTCCTTAAGGAAATGTTCAGCTCTTCATAGACATTCATGCTTATATTATGAATCTTTTGAAAACTTCATACTTTTTCAAATATTTAGCTTTATTTTGAAAATTTAGCCCTATTCAAATTTATGGGGAAATTCAACTTCAGCATACTTTCAGCTAGGAAAACCATTCAGGTGTCAAAATTTTCAGCATTTTCAGGGCGATGCTTCAGCATATCAGCATCCATACGCATTTTCAACAGGAAGTGCATTTCTCTAGTTTTCTCTGCGTTGTACATACGTATGTAAGCAGCAAGGTTTAATTCTTGTGGTGCTGTGAAATAATAGCCAGTTGTCTTTTGTGGTAGTATTGTGCCTTCCTGACAAAAGGGTTATGTGATCTGCCCACAGGGAATAAAATATGTCAAGAATGCATAAGATACCTTTTTTGGGTGGGTTATGCCACAGTCTGATATACACAGTGAATACTTCTTGCCATTCCTGAACCAGCTTGGTTTTGCAATAGCAAGAAGCAATGATCTCGTGATTGTCTAAGTCAGGAGGTTGATCATGTGACAGGAGCAGAGGATCCTGGCAGCCAAGCTGTTTCTAGTTTTGTGGTAGTTTGGACAGTATGTGTTGAAATGGAAAATAAATGTGTCCTGATGGATGGAAAAAAACAGCAATTTACACTTTACTTTTCAGCATGCCCAGTGAGGAGAATAGAAACTGAATCACAGAACTTAGATAACAGCTGCCACAGCTCAGAGTTTACATTCTAGAAATATTCTCAACATCAGTCAGACATAAAGATTTTCTAACACTTCAGATAAAGACTGAGCCACTGACTGCTTGTTAACCACCTTAGCATAGATTACTGGATTATAAATCTATGTCTGCCTTGTATAGTTCAACAAGTGCAACATCGGGTGACAGTAGTTGTAGCACTGTTTTCATTGTTGTGATCAAACTGCATAGTTAGTGCAGTGAATGAATGAAAATTCTGCAGCCATGTATCATTGGACTTATGAGGTACACGGGACAATTTTATATTTAGATGGGTGACTACATGTGCTACCCTGATGTAGGAGTCACATGTTTATATATACAAACACAGACCTGACACATTAGGATGTTGACTAACAGTATGAGGACATATATATAGCCACTAAAACCCAGACAATATGACACAGAAAATAAATAAGGTAAAGATATTTTGGCCCTGCATGGGAAACATGTCTGACTAGCTGGGTGCTCATCATTAAGTCTGATATGTTCAAGTTCATGTACTATTGAAGCTTAAAGCACTTTTTCTGAAAGAAGCTATATGTTTTGTTAGTAGTAAGTATGGGCTCATTCTTTGAAATAATGTACAGTAGCTTCTAATATTGTACAGACTACAGCATACCTTCATATTTTTGTATTTTGATTCTTGCACTTTACAGCTAAGAACAAACAAAACATGCTCCTGTTTTGCAGTGGTCTTATAGATACAAGTGACATATGAGGTTACAATAAGAATCTAGTCCAGGTCATTGTTATGAAAAAGGAAAAGAGCCTTCTACATTTTTCAAGCGGTGACCCAGACTGCAGTTGAGCACAGTGTTTACTGTCAGCCTCTGTGCAGTTTTCAGATGTTAGCCAACACCTGACGTCATCTATGTGAGTGAAACCATATGTAAACACCCTGCCTGGAAAAACAAGAACTCCTCCTCAGCCTTGGAACTTCCATTGTACTTCCTCATTACCAAGCTATATAAACTTGCACACTGACCTACTTTGACAGCAGAAGAACAAGGTATCAAACTCAGAGGACTTCAAACTTTCTGACCTTTAGACCTAAGGTAACGTTTATTTACTGATTTCATGGTACAGAGTTTTACTTCCTGCTTTGTGAATTCATTCTGACAGAGGGTTGGATGGAGACTTAGTCAGAGTCAGCCGCCGAGGATTAGAAAGCACTGCTGTTGAGGTTTTGCACTATAGGTGAGCCAACTCATGTATAACTGAGCTGCACTGAACTAATGATGCAGAACTCACTGCTGTACAGGCACTAAGACTGAATTTGACTGAAGATTTTTTTACCTTAAAAAGTCACTTCAGAAAGTTGGAGCAATTAGTCTTAATAGGATTAGGATTAGAGAAGGATCCTGGACCCAGTTGCACCCTAATAGAGGGATTTCTGTAAATCAGAACTGCAGGTTTAACTCAGCTGTCTGAGCTCTGCACAGATACTGTGACATATTTGTGGAAAATTACAACAAGAGAATAACTGCAAATACTGGTTCTTTATGTAAGATATGAATTTAAAGCTAAAGAAGCTACCACTGGCAATCCTTATGGCTCATGTAGCGACAGCACTGTACACACTTGGACTTGGTGAACTGTAAATTATTTGCATATAGATCATGTGACCTTGCTATTTAAATCACCCAAAGGTGAAGCCATGGTGTAATCAATGTGTAGGAAGTAGGCAGTTCACTTTCCAAAGCCACGAAAGAAACTGTTTTCTGCTTTTATTTTAGTCCATCTTAACAGGTCAGTGGCTTTTACTGGAAACAATGGGCACGCATGCACATTAGAAATAGTATGTAGAACTGCAAGGAGATGCTGATAAAGGACAGATAGCAGGGAAGCATAGCGAAGGAGAGGTGGTGAAAAGGCTCAGACTGAAGTCAATTTTTCAAGTTGTAACCTAAAAATAGAGAAAGCCTGGGTCCCTGATGAGAAAGCAAGCCAACTTTCTGAGCCAAATACTGAACCTATTTAGTTTACTGCAGTGATTTTTTTTCCATAACTGGGAGTTGTACTCATATGTTCGGTATGAAGCTGCACAAAGACTGCAGCCTTTATCTTTAACCTTAAGATTAGGTGAGTTCCGTATTTTCCTCAGTGAAATCAGATCTCAGAGCAAAGGCTTTCCTTCCAGAATCTGCTGTTTGACAAGTTCCAGCTCTAGTTGAAAAGACGTATCCTTTGTTCAGAGTTTTAGTGGGAACTTGTGGATGTTATTGTTCTTCCAGGATGTTATTGATCATCTGTGTGTCACTGCTGGCGGCCTCCACTCTGGGCCAACTGGATAGAGCCTCAATGGATGCCCAGTGGGACCAGTGGAAGATCACACACAGCAAAATCTACAGTGAACCGGTCAGTGTCTGCTTGTCTGTGTTTTAAAGCCCAGATTCTTCAGTGCCAAATACAAATACAGCTGAAGGAATTTGAATTAGGAATATAGAGGTGAAAATGGAAAAAGCACAAAAAATGTCAGGACAGAGGCACAAATATAAGCACTTTAAAAGGGTCTTGGTAAAGTGTTAAGCAGTAGGTGTGAAGACATTATTTAACAGATTTTGAAAGGCTGACATGAGATGTGGGGACTTCCATAGCCAACAAACACCTAGAAGCCAGGATATACTAATGTTTGTCTTGACTGGCAGGGTGGATTTTGGTAGAGGAATTCATCATATCAAAATGCACTGGGATTTAATTGAAATAATAAAATAATATTTTGACACAACCGGTTCTGGAAACTTACAACTTGACCCCTGTAGGGTTTATTGTATGAAACCACAACACCTCCATGTCTTAAAATGTGCCTCACCGTAACAACAAATCAGTTGGTGAGGACAGTTTTGCTTGACTTGCTCTGAATGTTTTCTTCAACTTAACTGCACAGCTGCATAATGAAGAAAGAAAGCTCAGAGACACAACAGCATGTATTCATTTATAAGCTGCCTACTTTAGCACTTTTGTGGTGAAGCCTCATGTTTTAACAGACAACAGACGGGACCTGTACACAGCAACGCTAGAGTCAGTTGTTCCAAAGAAAATGTGTACCTCAGTTTCTTGAGAACATTTATCTAGAAAATGTTACTTTAACCCTTTAGTTGCATCTGTACGTATGAATGCTTAAACATTTTGCGTTTGCCTCCTGCTCTCTGTCTTTGTTTTTCTGTACTCTCTCTCTGCTTTCAATGATTTGCCCGACATGTGCTTGAGTCACAGGCTGTCTAAGTATGACTCAGTTTAACAGACAGCCAGTTCAGTATTAGTCTGCTCTCTCTCTCTCAGCTGGCCTCAGTCTGGTGGGTATTTGTTTGGGAGGATGCAGCTCTGCTGAGAGGACATTAAATAGAACAGAGCAGTGCTTTGTAGGAGTTTTAAGTGACTTGGCGCCAACACCAAATCTCCATCTGGTTGAAAATATTGCTGTCTGTTTGCCCGCGTTCACTGTTGTGTGTTAGTTGGATGTGTGTGTGTTTGGGGGGGGGACTATTTTTCTTTTTCACATCTTTCTTTTTGATTTAAAATGGAGAAGCAAGTTAAATGTTTGGTCCAGACAGGAGAGAGGATGAGTTAGACTGTGACCAGTTTTTAATGGGTGATACATTGATGCATACTGTAACATGTCTGCTTTGTTTATAGAGAATACAGTTGTATCATTTATGGATGGATTTTTGTTTAAAAATTCATTTGTATCCCAGATGAACCAAGATCTGTTGAACTGACAAAAGGTTTTTAGAACATTGTCCATTTTGTTGATGCCTGTCTTTTCAGAGGTTGGGGAGAAAGAAAAGAAATTTCCAGCCTCAGCTTCTAAGATCCCCTGACACATCATTCATTATTGACAGGAACAAAACAAGGCTTAGCACTGATGTGTGTGCCCAGTTCCACACCCTGACTACAAGTTATCACTTACTGTAAATCTCTGAGACAAATGTTTCCTTTAACCAGAGTGAGGTTTTGTACAGTAAATGTTTGGAGAAACAATGTGGACTGTAAAAACAATTAAAGTGAGGCCAGTACTGGTTGTTCCTGTGGCCTGCAGGGGAAACAAGACAGATGGAGCTAGAGAACAAAGAATCCAAAGGGAAACAGGATGTGCACAATGATAAGTTACAGTGACTCCATCTTTATTCATTCAGAAAAGCTGCCTTTACAGCATGTGTTATGATAAAGGTTAATAAGTAAGTGAAACTAAAGTGAATAAGTAATATAAGTAAGCTTTGAAATTTGAAAAACTTGATAAGGTTTTTCATCTGATCTCATCTTATGTTTTCTGCCTTCATAAAAGTTAAAAGGATCATTTAAAAGCTTCGAAAACAAAGTGGCTCCAGCCAGATTTTGTTTTGTTTTTTTTACAGACAAAGTGACAAATGCTCTTTTGTTTGTTCCAGAAAGAAGAACAGGTTCGCAAGGCCATCTGGGAGAAGAACATGAAAATGATCATTCACCACAACAAGGAGGCAGCGCAGGGCATGCACAGCTATGAGATGGCCATGAACATGTTGGGAGACATGGTGAGTCTGAGCTTGCTCTGCGCCTTCAAGGCCACGTTTCCACTCAGATCTCACCCTGTGTGATGCCAAACTGTTTTTCTTGTTTGTATCCTTGGTATTAGTAGCTGATATCAACATTTCCGCTCAAGTTAATGAATTTAAAAAAAGTGTGTGTGCCATTCAGAAGTCTCAGGATGTGACATCAGATTTTAAATATTATTTTTCTCTCTGCAGTTCTGACTTTGAGTCCCTGCTATTTTGTATTTTTGTTTCACTCACACACACTGCACCCCAGTAAAGTGAAACTAAACGAGTCGGGTCCTTAAATCAGCTGTAGTCAATGAATCTCAGCGCAGGTCATGACTGCTGTATATTATTTTACATCTGCTGTAACAAGCTGTTTATCAGTGTATAAAAACCAGGCCTCAGGCTCATCTATTAGTGGCAGGAGTCTACACATCTGACTTTAAGATAAATGGCCACTTTCATGTTTGTATGGGAACAGGTGGCCAGGAAATGAAGAATGTGTTTCCATTTTGACTGGAAGCATTTAAGTGAATGAAACCAATTAACAGATGGTGTCTATTTAATGCTCTTCCTTCTTACAGACTGAGCTGTAATGAAAGCACGATAGAATTCAGATAATAACTGACATTTTTTTAGACGATTGCTCAATATCTGTGACAGGCACAGTACAGAAATCACTTATTGTGGTTCCACTTTTGCTCTTCATATCACTCCTTCGTTTGTGTCACTGTTGTGTAAATATTGTAGATTTTTTGTGTGCTTTTATGTCTTCTTTTCAATACAGTACAAAAAAATGACTTCAGTCAGGCTGCTGGATCAAATCCTCCATCTCCTCATCTTAATCCTAAAATACATCCTGTTGACTGTCCTTCTCGGGTTCTTGTGCTGAAACATTTGATCTCATACAGTTATTCCAGAAAATAAGGTCAAGTTTCAGGCATTCTATTGTTGGGGTGCTACAGTGTTTAACCTCTACCTTGTTTGACTTATTTTTGATCTAGACATTCAACCTTGCACTCTGTTCTGGCCTATCTGCACAAGGACCCCAGTGACATCTGCTAAGAACTGAAACCTACAGTAAGAATAAGACATGTTAACTTTCTCTTTGTCCACACAGACACCAGAAGAGGTGATTAACACGATGACCGGCCTTCGGGTCCCCCAGATCCATCAGCGCAACTCCACCACAGCTCTGAACTACAGTGAGGCCAACCTCCCCAAATCTATCGACTACCGCAAAAAGGGCATGGTGACATCAGTGAAGAACCAGGTCAGCTGCACGTCACTTGATGTAGTTTACGGTTTAAAGCAGCTATAATCTATATGTATAATAGCAATGCATCAAATGACAACATGAAAACTGTGACTGTCAAAAAACACTAATAGTGTCATGACAATTCTACAGTTTCCCTCATGTCTCTGGAACCTTATGATGATTTTCAGCCAGCTGTTCAGTTTCCAGCTTTGCTGTTTATATTCCCTCTCACTACTCTTTGGAAGCAGCTGTTTTCAGTGAAAAAGCTCTAAAAATGTTGGTGCACTACCTGGTGAAGCTCAGATAAAATGAAAGCCAAGTTAATTTAGAACCTGTTGGCTGACTAAACTGTTGGCAGTACCAGCACCGTTGTCAAGAACACAGTGTCACAGCAGTTCGAGGGTTAGGGTTATGATAGTGAACAACAGAGATGATCAGAACACAAGGGAGCATAGGACCCAACATGTTCAAGAGGGGAGGTCACATGATCTAAATGTTTTTGTGCCTCAGCTCTAGAACAAGTTAGGACAGATTGAAGTTATCGCCATTTCTAGGAATCAAAACAGAAACAGACATTCTCTCACACCGGAGGAAGTTATGTCTTTGCATGTCATGTTTAGTTTTCTTCTTAGTAGAAATACAAAAGGTACAGTAATTTACAGACAGTAGTTCCTGCTGGGTTTTGGTATGTGATGGTGTTCGTTTGGGGAAAACTGAGAAAAAGTTCCCCAATGCAGATTTCAGGCAAAATGTTTAAAAAAGTACCACAGACCTTCATTGATTTCTGTGGAAAAATGTGGCTGTTACAGGCAGAAGCAAAGCAAATGACAAGAGATGGGAACATAAAAAGTGTTTAAACAATAATGCAAGTAACTATGGAAATATCACATATTATATGAACAGCAGGTTAACTGGGGAATATATTCAAATAACTATGCACAGCCATGAAAACATTGTTTATGTTGACACTTTCCCACAGAAGCCTCGTAACTTTATTGTTTTCAGCTTTTTTCAAGGTCTTTACTCTGTTGGTTTGTGAAAACCATCACTGGAAAAGCCCTTTTTGTTTTACATGTGTGAGTAGAGTGATGGCCTTCTCCAGAGGGCAGCGGCATGTCACCTGAATGACAATCAGAGGAGTTGGAGAATATTTTCCTTTGTCTGGACACATATTCCACTTCTTCCCAGCTCAGCCTTCTTCAGTTTAGTTTTGTTGATTGGAGCTCTAGTTTTTGTTTTTGGCAATAGCAACAAACTTTAAAACAGTTTTTTGTACATTTATTTACTCCAAAATTAGACGTGTTCAGCAGTTGCAATTTAATCCTGTAACAGACCCTGGGCTTGGTTAAGCATGTCAGCCCATTTTCTCCCCACAGTCACATATCCACCAGCACCACAAGCCTCCAGTGTTTTGACAAGCTAAAACACATATTTTAGATGTTTCTGGAGCAGGCTACAAGGAGCATTAAAACATACATTTTGGCAGATTTATTTACTTCATAACTAGTCAATTAAGACTTTTTCCCCCTGCACAAAGAAGACAAAGTATTTTAAGACAGCTGATTTTTAAGAGAAACAGGACACATTTAAGCTGTTACCATGAATTTATACTTATATTCATTTTGTTCAGGATTTTAATGTAAATAGATTTATTAAAAAACAGCAATGATATTATTTATGACAAGTATATTTCCTCTGTACTTTAGTTGATGTGGAAGCAGACAATTTATGCGTGGAAGACTTGTCTCCCTCTGGTGTTTGAAAACCAAACTTCAGCTATAAACAACTTTGTGTTGTTCATAAACTATTCAGCATGCCTACTGCAATCTGCATACCAACAATTCAGCTGTTTCCTCCAAATCTCCTTTTATGAAGTCTGAATTGTGTTTTGCTTGTTTGAGACTAATTTCTACTTCAGCTCATTCTGATCCCCAGTGAACTGAAGTGGTCAGACATTTACAAAACTTTTAATTGGAGCAACTCGGACCATCAGAATGTGAGGATGTTTTAATTCAGCCAGCAGAGAGTTTAATGACTCTCATGGAGTTTTACTGCTTCAGCACTGAGAGAACTTTGCAGTTTGTTTCTTCTCAACAGACCAGGGATCCTGTTCTTTAAAGCAGAAAATGCTCAGCACTAAATACAAATAATATATGATTACTGAACATCTCATCTAAAACAACAAACATGCTGCTCTAACAGCCTCCATTCTTCTGGAAGGTTTTCCCTAAACATTTGGAAACTGGCTGCAGGGATTTGCTCCTGTTCACCTGCAAGAGTATCAGTAAAGCTGATGCACACACTGGAAGTAATCTCACATGCATATGGTAATTTGATATCAAAGGTTCAACCTGCACAGGTGACAACAGCAAGAGGTTGAGGTTTCTGTTGACATTTTTAGAACAGTATTATTCATGTGTGTCAGAACAGCACATTTCTCATGGACATGTACACACTCTTCCTTCTCCAGGTCCGTAGAACACAAACTGCTCCCACAACCACAGTGACGTTGTTGAACCAACAAACAGAAACATGTTTAAATCTAATGCTGTCAAAACCTGACACCTAGTGGACAGGCAGAAGAAAGCACCTAGATTTCAGTGAGGCTGATGAAGTATTTGAAATGCTGATTTGTCATTTTGATCCATTTTGAAACTTGTCACTTGTGATTTGATCTCCAAACCAGCAAGCTTTTATTGCACTGTAATATACACATTGTACATCTTCATGTAACCTTTAAGTCACATCAGATTCGGTCCAGTCAAAACCTAAAGGTCAAAGGTCAAAGTCTTGATTTGTCATATGCACAGTTAGGAAAGACCCTAGAGCAACATTTTGTAGTTTTGCACATTTCTGTTTGTCCTTTTTCTCACTAAAAGAAATTCCTCACTCTCCTCCCTGTTGTTAACTGCTGACAGGGATCCTGTGGTTCCTGTTGGGCCTTCAGTGCAGCCGGGGCGCTCGAGGGCCAGCTGGCCAAGATGACAGGTCGGCTATTCCAAATTTAAGGCACTTTAAAGCAGCAAGTGAAGGGAGCAAATAAAATACAACAAGAACAATATAATGCAGAAAGAATATATGCTACATGGCAGCCATGGAGTGTAAATATTCAGCAGTGGGTGTGCAATTATGCATGTGCAAAATGAGTATGTAAACAGTACAGATGGAATTACACGAGGTAGATCCTGAGTCAGCTGTTTAGGAGTCTGATGGCAGTCGGAAAGAAAGAGTTTTTCAGTCTAGAGGTCCTGCATTTCACACTTCAGAGCCTCAGACAGGAGGGTAGGGGTATGAAGTATGGTCCGCACTGGGGCCCCTTGAGGATGGAGGCAGCTTTCCTACGCACCCCGCAGTGGTAAATGCTCTGCAGAGAGGGCAGTGGAGTGCTGGTGATCTTCTCCGCAGTCTTTACCACACCTAGAGAAACATTTAGTAGTTTTGCACATTTCTGTTTGTCCTTTATCTCACTAAATGAAACTCCTCACTCTCCTCCCTGTTGTTCACTGCTGACAGGGTTCCTGTGGTTCCTGTTGGGCCTTCAGTTCAGCCGGGGCGCTCGAGGGCCAGCTGGCCAAGAAGACAGGTAAGCTAGTGGACCTCAGTCCTCAGAACCTGGTGGACTGCGTCAAAGAGAATTATGGCTGCGGAGGAGGATACATGACCACCGCTTTCAATTATGTGAAGGAAAATGGAGGCATCGACTCTGAGAAGGCCTACCCATATGTCGGAACGGTAAAGCCATTAACTGTTCTTAGACTTTCCCTTAAGTGGGCCAAAATGGGGGATGGGTGGGGCAAAGGGCAGAAACAGATCAGTTACAAGTGAGACAATTTGTATTTTAAATAGTGTTTATTGTTGACCAGTAGCCTATAATGTTTTTGGAATAAGCAAAAAAAAAAAAAAAAAAAACTAAACTAAAATGACAACTTCAGACCTACACTCCACTGAAATGCAGCATTCCCCAATACCTGCAGTGACTTTCCTCTCTGCGTTTGATGCCACTTGTGTCCGGATTATGGATTCTGTTGCTCCGCTGAGGAGGAAAAGAATTAGGAATCTCTCTGATCCTTGGCTGAATGACGTTACGCAGGCCTATCGGAGACGGTGCAGACAGGCAGAGCGGAAATGGTGGAAGGATGGTCTGCAAGTCTCCTTAGACATCCTAAGAGCCTGTCGTCAGGACTATCAGAGAGCTGTCAGCGATGCTAAGTCTCAGTATTTATCCCAAATTATCTCGGAGAATAGTCATCAGTTCTTTTTAAGACTATTAATTTGGTTATCAATCCCACTACTGCTGTGTTTCCTGAAGCTTCGAATGCTTTGTGTGCCGATTTTTTATTGTATTTTAGTGAAAAAGTCCGGGCTATCAGAGTGAGTCCTCTACATCTTCCACCCTATGCCCCAGCTGTGTCCCACCCCGGTGATACCTTCACCTCGTTTGCTCAGGTGTCCCTCTCACAACTTAAAAGATGTGTGCTTCAGCTCAAACCCGCTGCTTCTCCGCTTGATCCCCTTCCGGGGAAGATTTTAAAAGAAGTTATTGATATTATTGGCCCTGGGCTGGTCAACTTTTGGATTAATCAATCATGCTGTGCTGGTAGTGGGCTATGGAGTGACCCCCAAAGGGAAGAAGTACTGGATCATCAAGAACAGGTGGGACACATCACCTGTCTGAAGGGCATCAGGTGGCTCATAAGGCTGCCAAAATGAAACAACAGGTTGTTTGTTGTTGTAACACCGGTTTGATGCATCTGCCAGCTGTGTTGATGACAAACTGATGACATGAGAGGCTGTTTGACTCCTGGCGATGCTCAACATTGCTCATATTTCTTTCTTTCCATCTCTGTTGCCGTCTTTTGTCTTTTCATGATAGCTGGGGCAAGAGCTGGGGCAAGAATGGTTACATCCTGATGGGACGAAACCGTCGCAACCTCTGCTGGATCGCCAGTCTGGCCAGTTACCCCATCATGTGAGGGGACCAAGGTGGAACTGAGAGAAAAACAAGGGACAACAAAGGGGTTTTACTTTGACTACTACGCACAAAACCTACCCTTAAAAATGTACAGAATTTATTTCAAAACTAAAGCAACAAAAAAAAACGTGTTTATGCTTTTTCTCCCCCAACAACACCCATATTTTTGAATTACTGTACATTCATTCATTCATTCATTTTCTACCGCTTAATCCCTTAACGGGGTCACGGGTGGGGGGGCTGGAGCCAATCCCAGCTGGCAATTGGGTGAAGGCGGGGTACACCCTGGACACAGCATGCCCACATTACTCCAGCTCTGCTTTCTCTTTATTGGTTGCCCGTTAAATGGAGAATAGATTTTAAGGTTTTGCTTTATGTTTTTAAAGCCATGCATGGTCTTACCCCTCAATACCTGTCCGACCTCTTGGCTAGATACATCCCTCGCAGAACCCTACGATCATCGGGTCATCTTGCTCTTGTCGTTCCCCCTGCACACTACAAAAAATGGGGAGGTCGCGCCTTTGCCGTGCATGGCCCTAGGCTGTGGAACTCCCTGCCTTTAGATATACGCTCGATAACTGAGCCGGCAGCGTTTAAGTCAGCGTTAAAAACGCATCTTTTTAAACAAGCTTTTAATGTTTAGCTTTCTTTCGCCAGCTTTAATAATTTACTTTCTAACTAGTTTTAATATGTTAGTGTGTGTATTGGTCTGCTGGACCACCATGGGTGAGCCCCCGGTGAGAGAGCCGGCCGGGTAGTAATTGGCCTATATCAGTTTTTGGATATCTATTTGGCTTCTTGTCTGTCTATGAGTGTTTTTAACTGATATTGTATTGCTATGTTTCTATTGTTGTAGCACTTTGTGCTCTTGAACTGGAAAGTGCGGTACAAATAAAGTTTATTATTATTATACCATAAGCTGCAGACACAGACTGAAACCAAAATGGCCGACACCCTTGGCCCAATCACATTTGCACGCACAAAGAAATGGTAAAACAACAAGAGTTTCTTCTTTACCAGAAATGATCAGATTGACACTCTCCCACTGTACATAGCAAACATAGTTTCCTCTTGTGTCATCTCTTATGAGAAGGAAGTGGAGCTGCTTGTATGCATTCTGTGAATGTACCGAGGCTACAGTCTGAGACGTGAAATGTGCATGTGACACTTAAACCACAGGGTTGGCTAACATGTATTTTCATTATAGATTTATCTGACTATTATTTTTTATTTTAATATATTTTTGCTAATTGACGATTCATTTGTTCTCAAAACAACAGGATGACAGAAATTTGCCAGAGCCAAAGATCAAATGTCTTGTTTTGTCTAAAAGAGTCCAAACTTTCCAAATATGCAGGTTATTATAATGTAAGACTCAGCATGTATTCACACTTGAAAGCATGGAACCATCAAAATGTTCTTTCTTGTAAAGTACTCTGAATGATGTCATTTCGAATACAGTAAATTGTTTCATATGAAACATTTTAAAACCTCCAAGTTGGCAACCCTGACCAGGCTGCTGTTGAACAAGAGGATTTCTGGGTGTTGATGTGCAATTTGGGTTGAAAATATATCAAATTTCCTTTTGCATATTTAATTTTCTGACTGCTTTTTCAAGTGAAAATACAGACATCAGAACAGATATGTTCAGCTCTGTTCTCCTGCTTTGTCCTCCCTGCAGGACAATCCGTGCAGATATAATGTGTCAGGCAGGGCAGCCCAGTGCAAAGGCTTCAGCGAGGTCCCAGTGGGCGACGAGAAAGCGCTGGCTGTCGCTGTGTATAAAGTGGGTCCGATATCTGTGGGCATTGACGCCATGCAAAGCAGCTTTTTCTTCTACCAGAAAGGTTAGTGAACTGCTCTGTTTGCTTTTATCAGGCATTTCTGGTCATTGTTCTTCGAAAGGTTTTTACTGTTTACAAAGTGTGTAGCAGAAAAGTGGATGCATTTGGTTTTTTATGTTTCATTTTGTACTCAAAGTCATATTATTGTGGCTTTGTCACACAGTTATGAGCAGGAACTGTCTTTAACCCTCCTTGCTGATGTGTTCACGGAGGCGTCAGGCTCAAACAAATGTCCAGTGTTTTAAACTGTATTAGCTCCACAGTATATGTTGATTGACTGACACACTTCCTGCTG